TTGCTTATTCTACTTATAAGTCCTTATTTCTTCCGTTATGATGGTAGTCATGATGTTTTAGCGCGTTTTGTACGATGACCTCATTATATTGGCGCGTGAATCGCACCACACCCGGCGCTGACCGTGTCCTTTCTAGGAAGATGCTACTGGGTTTACCTTCCTGGTGTAAGGGATATGTTCCTGCTCTCTCAGTTCTTCTTCTCACAACCGTTTCTCCCTCTCCATTATCCTGTCCGCTGCTCCTGTTCGAACGTACATACCCAGCTGCTTCGAGAAGTTCCGTGTTCTCTGTTTGGATGGCATGTAGTTGTTCTGATGGTTTCCCTCGAGGCAGCTGTAAGGGATCAAAATACAAAAGAAGTGTCCGAAAATAGGACGCCTTCATCAGTCTATGCAAAGACAGGGGGTCTGGTGGCTGACGATGACAAGTGACAAGGTTCCGAAAGAACTGGCAATCGGTGATGGATGGAAATATGTCTCAGATCAAAAATGTCTTACCAGTAAGTAGGAGGAAAAAGTGATACCAAAAGCCGAACTGCTGTCACGATATTGCGTCACTGGCAACAGGAGAGACCGAAGAACAGGGGTAGAAATATGTCAGCAGAAAGGAGCGTCGCATATTGCAATAGGGAGGACGAATAATTTCAAATGGCATCAGAATTCAGTACACTTACTACTTTCGCTCATCTGTAGTCCAGCGACCGGCCATATCATACAAGACTGTAATAGCAATCGTGGGCGAATAGAAAACTGAATCGAACTTCAGTAAATACTGGTTTGCGATATCAATTGAGACCATAAGGGGGTTTCTAGCGACAACGGGTACCATTATGCCATACTGACAGCAAAAAGTGGCGATAGGGTAACTCCCACGTTCGGTCGCCGAGAAGTATTCCGATAAGGAAAAAGGCGGTAGTACAGAGTTGTTACGCTAGTCAAGATCCATCTGAATAACGAATAATCTGACTTAAAACAGAAATTGATAGTTTTTATGTTCAAATGGTAGTCCACAAATCTGGGGGGGGGGGGGGGGGGAAGGTTATGGGTAGTTCCTTAACATACATGTCTATGCACAAAAGCTTATGTAAATAAAAATAACTTGCCTAATTTAATAAACAATCGGTCTTCCCATTTGTATTACCAAACATGTTTTCAGGCTTCCTAGAAGAAGCTCGACGTAACTGTGGAGATGATACTGGAGCTTAGACTCGGACCATATGTCACTCGTTACGAGCATTCGTCTTTCTGATCCGGAAACTGCCAACTGATCGTCTATATGTTGAGTTAAATAGTGAACAGCAAAATGTACAGACGACTTGTTCTGGTTTTTTGAACAAGCTTTTTGCAAACAATTTTAAATTCCACCTTATTTTCCCTGGGGAAGGCTCTTTTTGTTGTTGTTGGTAGGAAGGGGAAAAAACTGAACCTTTCGAGCGTCGAGAAAACTGGAAAGAATGTTAATTTCCCTTATTTTCGAATATATCTTCTGATATACATACATGTTGGTTAATCTCACGGATCGCAGCTGTTAGAACGCCCACGATTGGGATTTCGATACAGTAGCCCATGTAACCCTTTTGGACTGGGGTGCCTGGCTATACATAACTTTGAACATTCCAGTCAATCTTGGTGCTATGGGTTTGACCATTAGCTACTCATGGGGCTGAATACATGACGGGTTTTAATTGATCATCTCGTGTCTACTATATCTCCTTGGTTGATTACTGTATCAAACTGTCTTGGAATTGTTTTCTTTAAAATCTATTTCGGAGATATTGAAGGTGCTCATTTTACACGAAAAAATTTGAAGAGATCATATATTCAACATGTATCATGCACTGCATGCGTTTCATGATGTGGGACTATCTTCGATTAAGGAGATCACCTCCCAGTTGATTCGAATAGGTAAAGATCCTATTGTGCTCTTCACAGAGCATTTTGTGGATCGTCCGCGAACGGTTGCGTAGCGTCCAGCAAATGTTGCATCACGAAAGTAAGTCGAGTTTAAACTTATTGGGAATCACGAGTGTTACAACTTTCATCAATAAAACAACCTGTCATTTGCTGATGCCTTATGTCTTAGCGCTTCGCAACCGCACGCGTCAGTGACCCACGAAATTGCAAAGAAGGCAAATGCCACATATGACATATTGTTCTCACGCATAACTGTGATCATTGTATGATTCATATCATATTGTTGTTATGTACGTGGTAATTACTGTTTATCGATTTATTAGCATGTATAAAATAAATTTTATAAAAAACCAGTAGCATTGATAATTCATCTTCTTATCACTTATCACATGAAGCAATTAGCATCACAATTTCATCGATTTGTACAAGCCCGCAATATTTCGTCGTTGTCAACGGATGCACATACACTTAGGGAGAAATTCAAAGGGGAAGGGGAGAGTTGGAATTATCAATAAATATATCACAAAATGGGGAACAGAAAGGAGACGAATCAGGCAAGCAAACATGACACGCCAATCGATAAATCAATAATACTCAACGAAGACAGACGTAGATCAGTGTAATGGGGGCGAGCGTTATTGGTTAGTACGGAGGAGATGGGCGTTAGGTCCGAAACGTCCTTTGTTGAGCGTCACATTGCGACAGCGACCTGCAACCGCTGCGCAAATGTGGCTGCGGGCTACTAGTGGCAGATTTGTGCGGACAGTATCCGGACCTAACGCCCTAGCTGTTCCTGTCTGTGGATACTGTGTGCTATGATTTGTTTATAAAATCCGCTTTACACTGAGATGAGCAGAATAGATGGTGATCTTTGAAAATGAATTTCTTTCCAATCAAATCCATGTTGCACTGACGGCAGCTAAATAGGGTATGAGGAGTTTACCCTCTTAAAAACAGAGAAAATCCAAGTAAAGAAGCAACGTACTGAAAGCATTCTGGCTTGGCATGCCAATGGAAGTCTTGATAATTCAAGCGTTTCTCGTCGGGACCGATCTTTTGACCACACGTGTCACAGTTCTACAATTGTGTCGATAACTATCAGTCACTGGTATGCAAAAGCTCTAAGCTTCAGATGATCAGTATATTCTTAATGAAGGACGACAATCCCAAAGCCATCTCAAAAATTGACCGTATTCAATTTCGAAGACTGTTTTGCTTTGTTTATTTCGATTCTAGGAAGCTCAAAGGACTCATTCCACTCGGTTCCACTGCCTCAGATTATTCTTGGCGAGAGGTTAGAGAAAGGGGCGGTGGCGAAGATCAGGGATCCTTGCGATCAGTTAGCAGCTCACTTCTCTGAGATGCTTTCCAAGCGAAAATTCGTTTCCCTCCCCACTAACTAAATTTGTTGTTTGGAGTTTTTATTTCCACCAGGGATTGGAGATTTCTATAAGCTTACTTCCATCCAAAACGCAGGCCACATCAGAAATTTTGCGATTTTGAGGTATCCAGTAGAAAAACATTGTTTTCATATGTAGAAAAAGGACAAACCCGAGCAAAGTGTTTCATGTAGCAGTCGATACAGTGTGGATGATCGTTCTTCATCATGTAGCGATGGCCGCCAAGACGAAAATCACATTTGAGACAAGCAAAGTGATCGAAATGCCAGGACTTCTCTTCAGCAAATGTGTATTCACGAGCGAAAATCAGCTGGAAAAGGAAAGATTCAAATCACATTCCCAGAAGAAGAGTTGAAAACTTTTAAGTAGTGAAATATTGCTTGGGTAGCGTTGCCGTATAGAAGAAAACACTCCAAAACAGATACAGATGAACTATGATAACCAAGCAATTGGACGAAAATGGATAGTTAATTGTATACAAAGTAACTCCAATCGGTCCCATGGTGGACAAACGTACTACTGTCGAATCACTGATGTTTTTTTAGCCAATGAATCCCTATGAATTCCGATGGATTACAAAAAAGAAAACAATCTGTGAGTGATGAGTCTCTCTGAAAGGAAGTGCAGATCAAGGCGAAACCTTTCTCGACGAGGTATAGAGGCGTAAGGGTTCCGTCTGTTCTATTTGACTTGAAGAAGAGATTGACAGTACAAGAATATGCTACTTTTATGAAGAAATTCTCCTTTATCTACGTAGTAACCGGATAAGGCAGATGCCCTACACTCGGTAGCGATAATAACTTCCTGGCTACTAGTTGTCCCCGAACCTCTAGCCCCGTCTACGCTCTCTCAAACCGACTTCGAGCTCACCTCATCACATCCAGCGCATCGTGGATATTGTAAATCAGCGAAATGCCTCCCACAGTAGTATTTACCTAAAGAAGAAAAAATAGTAAACAAAGGCGTCTACAATTTTTATCCAAAACAAGTGATGTAAGATTTCTTGCTTCCGTGATTTTATATAGCTCAAGAAATCCCTCGGTTAGTGTGAGCGGAGCCAACGGGGCAAAGCCTCGGACACAAAACTATTTGAAGAAGTACTGACTGGGTTCAGTCACCGAGGGTGAGTCAGTTTTCACCATTATTTCCCGTTCACACCCTCACCGTCCTCTCTGCAACCCTTACATTCAAAGGTTCAGCTTCTAATTTGCTGTTATCGCTACTGCCTAGTTGAGTTGGCCCAAACCTCCTTTTGTCTCCTTTTGTCCTTACCTTTCCTCAGCGGATAATTCATTAAACCATACCTTACCTTGGTAATGGAAATAAAGCATATCGACAAGCAGTTGATCACACTGGGCACATCGGAAGCAGTTCGGATGCCACACATCCTATAATTTTACAATAGAACGCTGAAATCACGAACCCGCCCTCACATCAAAGGTAATCCAGGATTTGTGCTGCTTCTTTTCAGAGTGAGCTGAGTAGTTCTACCCACAGGTATCAGCTAACAAATAAGAAAAGCAATTAGGCCCTTGCATGGCGATGCGGAAAGGTAGACAGGCAATTGAATTTTCAGATCGAAAGCGCAACACTTACATTCTTTGGCCCGTGGTCCGTCTTGATACCGACGTCGCCGATGGGTATCGTATCCGTGCACGATTTGCACTTCTAAAAAGCAAATTCAGTCCGAATCTGACCAATTTGTAAACTGAACAACCACAAAATTCTTTTACCACTGATCCCACACTGATGCCAGCAATTTCCTTTGCGAGTTCTTCCAAATCGTTCGTGTCTACGCCGGTACTCTTCTTCGGAGTAATTTCCTGTACCTGTCCGACACCGATAACCTGAAATATCATTCGACAGTGATCCTTCTGGTTTATTTCAAAATTCTCAAAACTTGATGAAGTGAGTTTCGATCGATCGATCGATCGACGATAGAGAGTTTAGTGGCAGACAAGATGAACCAAGTGGCCTCAGCCGGAAGGAAGGCTATACTAAGTTGAGAATAGGGTCACGTCGACTCTACCCAACGCGACACTGCCTATCCCCAGCACGCTCCTCTACCCTCGGTAACAAATGGGGCCCACACCAGGAGCTCGATACCCCTTTTTCTGCTGCAAGTATTTTGCTCTTAGGGTTCAACAGCATCGAATAGTCCATCATATAAATACAAATGCACCAGAATTTCAAACCCATGATTCCTATCAGTTCTGTAATATCGAATTCGATAATGTTTTCACCGCTTCGATACCTTATAGTCATAGATTTGTCATTAGTGCAAAACTGTACATACGTGCTTGCGAACATTCTCGAGGAATCGTCGGAACACCTCCTTGTCTTGTTCATTAGCGAATCGTGCATCGTCCACGTTGCAGTCGTACAATGGAAGCTGGAATGGACCATGGTAACTCAGTTCTATTGATGAGTATCTTTGAAAAAGGCTTCGAACACAGTATCAGTTATTGAATTAGGGCTGCTTATAGGTAGTTTTTGATAAGGAGTTCGATTTGGTGGCTCAAGAAAAAGCCATTAAGCTGTGAGGAATCAAAGAGGTATGTATTTATCATGGTTATGAAAGAGTCGATGACAGGGTCGAATAGGTTCCCGCAAAAAGAAGTAGCTCTGTTATTGGTAGCCGTCATTTTCCATATAAAAATGCTCCATTTTAGGGAAATACCAAGTATTCTAAACGGTCTAAAAATTAATCTATGCATGAAATACCATGCAACCCCCTCTTGCGGCCCTTTCGACATTAACATTAATCAAACCAGAGAACTGATAGAAGAACTCGATTAGGACAGCAGGATGGACGCAGAAGGAAAATTCCATTGAGGAATTAAATTACCTGAAACTGTAGACGAGATTTGCGGTTTTGTTCTCCAACAGAGCCAATAATTGGGCGTTCCTCTTCAGGAAGCGCATTCATATATCGTTCGACGAGAGACTTATCCGGAACGGGCACCCAACTGTACTCAGTAGT